GGGGGGGCAGGGGGCAGGCAAGGGGGTTGCAAGCAGCCAGCCCTGCTGGACTCACTCTGGATAAGGTCAGGCCCGATGGTGGACTCAATGATCTTGTCGATAGCTGAGCCCAGGTCGGAGGACGACGCGGTGCAGTCAGACACCAGCAGGGCGGGATCTGGGAGTACGCTGGAGTGCACCAGGGTTGGGGGGCCGCCCGTCACCCCCATCACTGGACTGCGGGACACAGAGGACGAGTCTGGGAGGTAGCCATGGGGCAGGGGGTCTGTGCTTGAGCTGCTCTCTGAAACTTCCTCCTGGCAAGGGAATTGATGCGGGGGAGGAGGTCAGTCATTCAGGTCCACTGGGCGGACACTTTGGCTCAGAGCTGCCATGCACTCAGCAACCACTTGGGACCAGTGGGCGAAGCCTTCCAATCACAGAACCCCCCCCCCCCCCAAGTTCTGGGGTTCCTGGCTATCTGCTCAGAGCCTCCGTCCCAGAGCAAGAGGAGCTCTTTCTGCTTTCCCACTTTCCACCGGGTCCTGGCACAAGCTCTTCCCACTGCCTGAGAACACGCCTCTCATCACCCTAAAGCCAACTCATCTCCCCACCACCACTCAGCCAGCTCTTCTAGCCAACCAAGCCTGCCTCTAAGGTCAAGTTCGCCCCCCAGTGCTGCAATGTCCTGGCCTATCGCTCCCCTCCACAAGGGACCCAGCCCAGGCGGGCACAGGGCTGAAGGAATGCATCCCAGGCTCCTAAAGTAGGGACCCCGGACATGTCCGTGGACTTCTATCCAATGATATGGACCTTCTCCTCCCTGTTTTAGAGGGGAGCCCTTGGGCGGTACAGGCAGTTGACATGCTGGCGGCTAACTGAGTGGTTGGAAGGTCTTGTCTACCCACGGCACCTTGGGTAGAAGGCCTGGCAACCCAGTTCAAAGCAGCTCTTGAGAAGCTGAGGGCACACAGATCTGACCCTGCAGGCGCCCAAGTGAGTCAGAAATCAACTTCAAGTTACTTCACGTGACATCTTGAATACAACTGACCACTCTGCAGCCCAGCGCCACGGTTAAGGACTGGCTTGTATGTATGGACTCCCTCAATCCTTACACAAACGCTGTATGTCGACCACTCACGCTTTACAGAAAACGAAACAGATCTACAGGTTGGCGAGCTCGCCCAAGATGACAGAGGAGGACGTGGCAGTCAGGAGGAATGACTGCCAAGAGTGGCAGTCCAGAGTGGTCAGGGGCAGTTCTTCCGGTTTCCTTTCCCAGATGGGGCAGTGCTGGTGATGTCATGGTTGACAGTTGGGTTGCTACCAGCAAGGTCAGCAGTTCGAAATCATCCATTGCTCTGTGGGAGAAAGGTGGCGCTTTCTACTCCCTTAAAGATTAGTCTTAGAAATCGCACGGGGGCAGTTCTATCCTGTCGTATAGGGTCTCCGGGAGTCGGCATCCACTCAAGGCAGTGAGTTTGAGTTTGGTTTTTGACACATGAGAAGCATGAGAGGGTGCTCCTTCCCCCAAAGAGACAGCTTAGATAGGATTCCTGGTTCTGCCTGCCCTGTAGGCCTCAGTTTTTGTTTCCCCCCCCTGTAAAACAGAACCTTACAAGGGATGAAATGGAACGGAGAAAAGCCACATGAGGGGCTTACGAAGCCAGACCTAACCAACATGAGCTGGCCGAGTCGCTCAAGCTGCCAAGCGCTGAGGTCTGGGGGACGGGTCTCCCCCACGCCACCTGGCCCGCTCATACCAGAGAGCTGCTGCCACGGTCCGAGCTTTGCCCCACGCCTGAGTCATCCGCCTCTACAGGTCCCGGGGCGGCCACGGCGTCGCTGCTGTCGGCCGATACGGCTTCCGAGGTGCCCACTCCCAGGCCACTCTCGGAAGGCTCCTCAGGTCGGCCAGGCCCGGGGGTCGCGTCGCTGCTGCTCTCTACTTCGTTTTCCTCCATCGGCTCCAGGGACCTTCTGGTAGAGAGGCGCGGGGTCTGTGGCCCTCACTCTGCGGAGGAGGTGGCAGGGGATGGTGGAGGTGGCCACGGAGACCATAGCCTGCAGCAGCAGCAGCCTTGCACCCATTTCGCAGATGCAAAAACTGAGGCTCCCACGGGGTGCGAGGCTGTCCCAGGTCCACAAAAGGGAACTCTGGGAAAACAGGACCGAGAAACCTTGCTTCCCAGCCCAGGGTCCCGGGAGGGAGGTCAAGGGCTGGTAAGCGCGACCTTTCCCCATGGCCGCCCCCACCCCCCCACTCCCCATTCACCCCTCCTCCCCTCCCCTCGCTGGGCTCCTGCATTGTGGTTCGTCCTGCTGGGCCCATTCAGGGTCAGCGGTTCAACTCTCCGGCCCCCCGGGTCCCCCCGGAGCAGGGTGGGTGGTACAGCCCGCCGGGCCCCCGGGTCAGTGGTTCGCTCCCCCCTCCCCTTGTCCTCGGCGGAGGGGGTTGACAGAGACGGTCCCGGGCTTGGCGACTCGGGGCTGTCCCCGGCGCTGCCTGCGCGCCCGACCCGACGCCATCTTGCGGCGGCGCCGGGTTTCCGCTCAGGCAAGTGCGAGAGCGACTAAAGGGCCTGGGACCCCGGGGCCCTGTCCGGACAGCCCCGCCGGCTCGGTACCTCGCCGCCGGCTGCTCCCGCAGTGCGGCTCCACGCCACGGCAGGGCCCCGTGGGACGACCTGCTCCTGGTCGACGCTCACCCGACGCTTTCGCACCCGAGTTCCTCTCCGACTCCGGCATCGACGAGGTCGCCATCCTCTTACCCCCGCCGCGGAGGGACCCATCAGGCTGGAGTCTGCCGGAACTACTTTCGCCCCTGCCCCGGGGAAAATCCATTTTTCAGGGTGCCGGAGAGCCGCTCCGAGGTGCCAGGGCCGTGGTCCTATCGGTACAGCGGCCAAGAATTTTCCCTTCGCCTTATTTGGGTGATGGGAAGCGCTGTGGGTTGGGGATTACTTTTCCTCGTGGCGGAGGATTACGTGGGGGCGGGGCTTGACGTCACTGCCTGGGTCCCTTCCCTGGGTCGCCGGGTTGGGCGCGGCGAATGCGGCCCCGCTCTCCTGGGGGCGTGGCTCTCGGGGGCCTAGTCCCGCCCCTCCCGGAACCGGAGCGGAAAGCGTGCCCCGAAGTGTGGAGACGCCTGGGGCGACGGCCAGGCAATCATTTCATGGGAGAGAAAGTGCCGGTTCTCTAGCCAGGCGCTCTGCGGCTAATTGAACTCGTTCATCATCCCTAATCCGGCCCTCCCGGGTTGGGTTTGCTAAATCCTTGCAGGGGAGTGCGTCGTCTTCGAACAGACCGGAAAACAGGCCTGGGGCTAGGAAGTGACCAGTGCAAAGGCACATCCAGTGACCGGACCGAGGCTTCGGGGAACAAATCGAAGTCAGTTCCTTACGAAGACAAGCGAACCCTGGTGTCCGGGTTGGGGCGCATCCAGCAGAGCACATGGCCTGTAGGGTCTGGTCTTGGCCCTGTTGGGGAGACTTTTGGAAGCAGCAGAGGCGCTCCAAGGTCCAGAGTTCGAAGTGGGCTCTGGGAGACAAATGCACAGGGGAGGGGCCAAGAGATAAACAGGAAAGGAAATACTGTTCTTAGTGCTTTGTAAACTTTTGCTTTTTAGGTGGAGGTTTACATATCAGATCATTTTTGAATTTAACAACGCAGCAACCCGCCCTGTAGCTTGCCCTGGCACTCCCTTCTCTCCCTGAGGGAGAGGGAATGAGGGACGTATTTCCCTCCTGTAGGATATTGGGAGCCCAGAATTCATCAGTATGTCCATGGGACATACACTACTCAGGTTTACTTTGGCCATAGTGTTATGAGAAAATCAAAACCTCGTAAGATCAACCGACAGCAACAAGCCAACCAGCAAACAAACGAAAAAGCAGGTCAAAGACAGGAAAACAAAAGCCCATAGAAACAAGTAAGTAACATGTTGTCAGTCATGCCCGGGAGTCCAAGGCAATTGCACTGATAACATCACCCGTTCTCCCAATGACAGCACTCGCTGCACTGTCAGTATGAGGAGTCCATGTGGCTACAGTTCCACCTTGAGCAGAAACCCCTGTGTTGTTGCCCTGTACAGTTCGATGTCTCATTGCAGTGAGCTCTGTTTAAGTGTGGGGATTGGTGTCAGGGGAAAACGTCCTGGATCAATTCTTCCAACTGCAGATCCCTGCCCAACAGATCAAAACATGTCATGTAACAGTGAGGGGGGCATCAGGTACCAAATATATAATGATTCAGGTCCCTTTCCATTGGACATCCACCAGGCCGGGGGTCCCCCCCCCAAATCCAATGACTGCCATTCCCATTCCCCGGGGCAGCCACTCGCTTCCTCTCCCATCTGAGTACCCAAGTCCTCAGTCCAAGGGTGTAGGCAACTTTGAAGCGGGGCTCAGTTAGCCTTGTGTTCTAAAGATCCATAGTGGTCCAGGTTCTTTGTGCGCCCCTCTGAGTTGGGGCATTCTGATTGCTTCCATCTTTCTGCTATTATAGAGAGAACTTCAATAAACCTAAGTGTGGATATGTCTCTTTGTGCTTTGTTATTTCTTTAGGGTACATAAGAGTAAGATGGCGGGATCATGAAGTATTTGCATTTGTTTCAAAAAATATTGTGTGGTTGAGAATGTACCCAGCCAAAAAGACACCAGTCGCAGTCTCCATGTGTATGCTTCAGTGAC